AAAAAAAAACGGAAAGAATACGACAGATTCATTTTCTTCATCCAATAATAATATACTTTCGGCAAAGAAAATGAGTTAGTTCTATAACTTACTCTTTTTTATTTATTCATTTTTTTTTTTTATTAATTCTCTTTTTTTCTCAATCCTACTGGAATATAGTAAGAGAAGAATGATGTGCAGACTGCATAGTCTTCCAAGCAGGAACTATAAATTGCACAGATCATTAATATCAATTAGTTTAGTAATGAAACTGTTTATGAACAATTGAAAATTAAATGAAGTATTTTTCTACTGACTTCCTCGTATTTTTCACCTGCTGATCAATTTCTTCGTTGATTCCTTATTTTTTATTTCTATAAATAACCATAACTGATAATATGAGGAAAAAAAAGTATTACGTACAACTCAAAATTGTAAATTATTTCTGTAAATTTTGATAAATTGATAAATAAAATGAATATTAATATAGAATTTTTATAGGAATTTTGAAGAAATTTATTCATAAGATTAAATTATATTTGTTTTCATTCAATTGAAAACTTTTGTGTATATTTAATTAATGTTTTCTAAAATATTTTATATATAATAATTATCTTCTTCATCAATTGAATATCTTTTTCAATATGTGTTCAATTGATATACTGAATTGGATTTTTAGATTCTTTTTTTTTGCTTGATCTGAACTATTTGTTGTATTAGAAGATTGGAAAAAAAATATTTTCAGATTAATAAAAATTAACATAAATATGTGTTATGCATTTCAGAATAGTATTTATAATTGATGTTAGTATAATATATATCTACACTTTATTCAAGCAAAACTTTTATTAGATGATAATAATGTTAGATAAGATTAATAATAAATTCTTGTCGTCGCAATTTATGATGAAAATTATAACGATGATTATCGTACATATGATTAATTTAGTTATTCAAAACAAAATAAAAATTAGAATTGATAAGATAATGAATGATATTAAAATTCGTTGTTTATTTCCCTTATTATTTGCTAAAACAACTTTTCAGAAATTCAATCGAAAGAAAAAAAAACATTTTTACTGACGTTTTACGATAAAATTTTCATCAAAACAAAAAAGATATTCTTGGAAACATAGGCCGAGATCTAATCTTTCATGAATGACATGATTTTTTTTTATTCAACACCTACTTTTTTGCCAAGATTTTTGATAATTTCTGCCACTTTAACCTTGAAAAATATGCTGTTTTCATACAAAATGGGAAATATTTTTCGTTTTCTTCTCTATTTATACTTTCGTGATCATGCAATCCAAAATTTCCCGTGAGCCTTCATTCTATATATTTAATGTTTTGTTCAAAAGTGCATGTTAAGATCCAGGATATGATAGTCTTTTTTTTTTTTTTGAATTAAGTTTTATGGATATTATATAAGAGAATGCTTTTATTATTAGAACGCCATTTTTTTTGAGAGTTTTTCAAGATATTGAATTTTCTATCTATTTTCTCTGTTTAAAATGTGAAAATAAAAAAAAGAACAACTCTGTCATACTCTGGAACTTGACATGCTCTCTTTAATCAAAAAATAAATTAAATATAGAGAATGAAAGCCTATAGAGAAATTTCGATTACGGGGTGAGATATTTGTGATCCCTCTTGCTAAATATCTTTCGCAAACGTCATGATATAGGGCTGAAAAAATTATCAAACCCTCTCCAGTAAAAGTCTCAACAGATTCTGAAAATTTCATGCGATTTGAATTTTGATGAGGATGGTGGTCATAATGAATTGTATACCAGTCTCATACGATACATTATTTGTATTTATCGTCAAATAAAGAATCATACTGATCTATGAATGAACTTGTTCAGATGTCTGTCTTAATTTTAAAAATTTCAAAATAATCACAAATTGTTTTAAATACAATATAATAACTATTTAGTGCAGATCAAATAGAACAATATCATTTTCTTTGGATATTCAGATACAATTTCAGAAAGCCATTCAATTGAGAATTTTTTTTCGTACAAAACTATTTCATCTGTTTTTCAAATAAATTTTTCTTATTGAAGGAAAATTTAAAATATTAATACTTGCTCAATCGTTCAACTAGGATGATCAAACAAATACATGCCATCGAAATCTCAACAAAATTTTGCCTCTTTTGATGTATGTTTTAGAATTTCTGAAAAAATAATCATCAGAATAAAATACGAGGAAAAAATCTTCTTTGATAGGATTAGATGATTGCTCTTTTTTTTTTTCTTCTTCGAATACACCTTAATCTTTTTTTACCTCTTCAACTTAGTAGTCACAACATTTTGTTTGAAATTAAATTTTACATCCGATTGCACGATAATGACTGTTTAATAAACTAAGTCTCGTTTCGAAAAACATATCTAAGCTTTTTTCTCACGAACAATAACATCAGAAATATTTAAAGCAGGTCATAGAAGTGGAAAGCACGAACGTCTCTATCCTTTGATGCTAACAACATTACTTTTTGAACTGGCCATCATGACCGAAGATTCACACTAATTGATAGATATCTGCCGAAAATCGTAGTTAAATGATTAAGCAGACGTCCATATTTTAAATTTTGTTTCAACAAGAAAATTTTATTAGAAAAACAAATGAAACAGCTTTGTTGAGTTAATCTGTACCACACGTTACGTTAAATAATATAGTAATGAACTTTTCTAATATTTTTGAGAACATACGACGTTATTTAAAAGAATTTTTTTAGTGACCGACTTATTATACTGAGTATTCTCTGTTCATAATTTCTCATGTCTTTTTGTTTGTTCTATTTTTATACTTTGCATGACTGTTTAGCAAAATTAATTTTAATTTCTTTTTCAAATTTCTATAAATAATGACAAACATGTTCTATTAGAATAATTGAAAAAATCTCTATGGTTTGATTATTTAATGCATAATCGAGCAGAACTACTTTGAATATTAATTTTTATTTACTGCAGAATTATTTTGAATGAAAAGAAAAATAAAATATTTTATAAGAAAATAAAATGGAAACGGAAATTCTTATTTGTTTTCTTGTGAAAATTTTTCCATCATAACACGTATTTCTGATGCACGACGGCTATCTTCTTCACCATTTTGACGTAATTCTGCTCGAATTCTTTCTAAAATAAGACCATTCCAATGATTCCAAAATGATGTTGATCCTGTAAAATGAATTGAACCATTGCCTGAACTTAAAAGAGCATTTCTTAAATCATCATTCTGTTGAAATTTTGCTAAATTTCCTTTATACATTTCATCAACTTTAATCGATTCCCAATCCGATCGAATTTTAATTCTTTGTCCAGCTGCCCAAGCTGAACAACCTGAACCAGATTTTAAAATCATATTTCTATCTGCTTCATTTGTTGTTTTTGCACATTGAAAATAATTTTCTGCTGATGAATATGTTATACCATTAATAACAAATTTAGATGGAAGAAAATTATCTGTTTCTGGATGTGATTTACCATCAATATCTGCTGGTCCACCCATATCTGAAACAACAAAAACAAAACAAAACAAAACAAAAACCGACAATTAACAATCAAAAAAGTCCTATTTTAGCTTTTTCTTTAAAAAAACGTTTATATAAAACACTTTGTTCACATAATAAATGACAAAGTTCAATTTTTAATTGATTTAAATCAATTAAACGTTGTTGTTTTATATTTTGATAATTCCAATCAATTAAAACAAATTTTAAACGTTTAAGATTAATTACATTTGCATCAAGAATATCATCAATACGTTTTGGTGTACCAATAATAATATTAAATAATGTTGTTGATTTTTTTAATAAATCAATTTGATCAGAAAGTTTTTTATGTTTAGCAAATAAATAATGAAATGTAAATAATTTTGATGATGAAGAATTTTTTAAAATTTTTCCTAATTCAATACAACGTAATGCTGATTGTGCAATAATCAAAACAATTGGTGCTGATGAAAGATCAGCTTGTTTCGACCATTTATTTATTGGAATTAATTCATTTAAATATTCATCAAGTAATATTGTAGATGTTAATGGTGATGATGCTGATATTGATGAATTAAATATTGAAAGAAGTTCATCAAGTTCATATTGACTTTTAGATCTTTTATAATGAATACGAATTGTTGTTATTAAATCAGAATAAGTTCCCATAGGACGTTTTGGTAAAATTTTTTGCTTGGCTTTTTTTGTTTTGATTTTTTTATCAATTATATCATTATTTTCAGGTTGAATTTCTTCTTGAAGAAAATAATCATCATCACCTAAATCATCAGCCATCTAAAAGAAAAAAAATTTACAAAAAATGAATTATATGTTTACAAAGATAATAAACAAATACTGAGAAAGAAATTCATTGGAATTTTTTATTTTCCGAGAAATTGAAAAAGACAATGTAAAACATTTTTATTTCATGTATAATAAAAGGTTGGACTAGCCTCTTTTTGATAAATAGATTGAAAAATTTAATAATTCTTAAGCTTTATTGTCCTCAAATCAGGGTATATTGAACCGGTTTCTTTTCTCTGACTGTACTGAAGACAATCCAAAAGTAGTGGCGGCAGTACTTTATTAACATATCAGCAGTGGACAGATTTCCAAAAAAGGAAATTTCTCTGCTAAATATTCATATTTCTGAAACTGCAACCATACAAAATGCAAATTTCAGAAAATATGAGAAACAACCGTAACTACTCCCATCCTATTCAAAAACAAATATAAACACAAATAAAGAAATTTCCTGGAAATTTCGGAAATTACCTTCAAAATAGAAAACAAATTTTCCGGAAACTTCGGTAACTACTCATACCAGAGAAACAAATTAGCAGATAATTTCCGTAAATGGCACATCCACAAAAGGACATTTATCAGTAATTACGGAAATTACCAAAAATTCTTCAACTTTTTCGATAGGGCTTCTTAAATCTATATCTATCTCATCATATCTATATGATATAAATAAAAAAATTATAGAAGTTTCCGTAAT